TAATCTTATTGGCTACTCAGAAAGTGATTGGGGGAAAGATCTGGATGAAAGGAAAAGCACAACTAGATTTGTCTTTTTCATGGGAGATACATCTTTCACATAGTCATTCAAAAAGCAATCGATAATAACGTTATCAAGCTATGAAGTTGAATATGTTGTTGTCAACTCAATTGTATGCCATCTAATATGGTTAAGGAACATGCCGAAGTTTTTGGGATTTCCGCAAGAAAGTCCTACAAAGATTTATATTGATAATCGATCAGCAATTGCCTTAGCCAAGAATATAGTGTATCATGAAAGAAGTAAATACATCGATACACATCATTATTTTATCTGAGAGCATGTGAAGAAAAAAGAAGTTGAACTAATATCCTGCAAAACAAATGATCAAGTTGCATATATCTTTACAAAGTCATTGAAGGGAGAAATATTTATCAGACTGAAGTTCACGCTTGGTATGACATTCCTCGATTAAGTTTAAAAGGGAGATTTGTTGTGGTAAACTAAATCAACCAACAACCACCACTTGCAGCTACCTACTATCAACTACGACCACTAGCTGCCACCTAATTAACCACCACCACCTACAGCCACCTACCATCAACCACCACCACTTGTTGCCTCTCAATTTATATATAAATAGGGTGTTAAGCTTATATTATTAAGTGTGGGAAAGAGTATAGAGAAATATAAGAGAGAAAGAGAGGGTGTGTATTAAGATTGTAAGTTTTGTAATTTGTAAGCTTGTTTTTATAATAAAACCGTGTGTTTTATTCCCTTGGAGTGTTCTAAAACCACGACCAATGATCTCTCCCACCAACATCAAGAACAAAATTATTGATAAAGAAAATGAGTAGCCTTAGAAAAAATAAATCATCAAAGAAGTAATCTCCCGTAATGGAAACATCACCATTATCAGTATCGATACTGGGCGCTGCTGGAACAAAATCAGTATCATCCTGACTGGGGCCCAATTCAAGCAATTCACCGTCATTGATGATGATAAAGTTCAAAGGATTCTTTACACCTGATTTCGCGCTTTTACTGCTAGTATCTTTGAAATTCTCTGAACCATGCATGCTGGTTAGCATTGTTATCAATACCCAAAGAGAAAGTAACAGGTGGGTTAGCCAGAAACAGCCTCTTTAATATGAAGAGATTCAAATCTGTTCCTTATAATATTTCCCAGAATCTGTGCCTTTTAGCTCTAGAATTACGTTGCTGCTTACGCGTAGCCATCATGCACTGCCTATATTTCGATAGAAATATCATTTTGCAAACTCTTTCCACAATTGTTCGCTGGACAGTATCTGCAGCTGAGTTGCTAGAGACCGGAGCAGCAACAGCACCAACCTTCTTAGCCTTGTCAATAATATATAAAAGTCATAGTCATCACCTTCGACGCGAGAAGATATGCAGTTTCTTACAGTGGTAGTTTATTCGTCCCTCTGTTCTATTTATCTGAAAAGTTTTGCTTTGAAAGAAGCAACATCTACATATCCTCTATTCCCAACATTTGGTGAAGAAGCAGCTGGTTTAAATGAATTTGAACTGTTCATCATGAAATAATTATTCAAAACATAATTTTGTGGTCGTTGGTTTTTTCTAGTTTCTAAAGTTTTCAGGATGAAGGGAATCTCGTGCATGGTTTTGTCTTGTATATGTTGTTTAGAATTCAGCTTACCAGCCGTTTAATTACAGAATATTTGAATGGGATTCAAAGAAAAGTAAAGTTTGATTTATACTAGTTAGGTCTAAGCCATGTGAAATCTCTTGATGCGCAAGAGAAGTTTCATTAAGGCACTCATCCAACGCAGACCGAAAATGATGTGCAGGTTCCTAGTAGTAAGAAAATTAAAAACAAAAAATAAAAAGTACACTTCTTTTTGTTTTTTATATTAAAAAAACATAATAGTTCGACAAGAATTAATTCTAATTCACTCAAGGTCATGGAATCATCTTGTTCAACTACTTTAGTTTTTTTTTCAAAAATATATTTTATTTAATTGTATAATAATAAAAATAGTCATTTGCAGGAAAGCAACGGGATATTTTTTAAAAAAAATATATAATAATTTGTAAAAAAAAATGTATATCAAAAAACTTTAAAAAAAATATGTATAATCTTATATAAAAAAAAACTAAAATTGTAATGGTACTTTAAAAAATAATACCTGAAATATATTAAATTAATTTAAAAAATTAATAAAGCAATATATAGAATACGTATGTAGTTATCCAATTTTACATCAAATAAATTTTAAATAAAATAAATAAAGATAAAAAAGTTAGGCAAGTGGGTTTGGGAGGGCTAGGCATATGTACTTAAAAGACCCAGCATGCTTGGGTGGGCTTGATTTGTTTTTATTATTATTTGAATGTGCAAATAATGCATCATTCATCCTCTTTTGAGGGGGGGGGGGGGGGGGGGTACAAGAAACCAGACAATACATTATTTACAGTGGTGGGTGATACTTGTTTAATTGGTGATCAAGAATCACTAGAAAATCTCACAAAAACACCATTATTTTTCAAGGTATTGTTTCATCACTTCACAAACATGCCCCTAAACATAAAAGAATCCATTTCTAAGTTTAAAACAATGTTTAATTGGTCAAAAAAATACAAAATTTATCTTGAATAAATAAAATTCTCGAAGGTCAATTTATCCTTCCCCAAACTAAGGGGCAAAAACACCCAAATGACATTCCTTTCGTGAAATGAAATTACTAACAATAAAAATGATATTTTTTATCTTTAAGGCATGGTTAACAATAACTTTTTTTTTTCATTGTAAATTAATAATTATCTCTTCTCACTCAAACTCAAAAACTTAAATATAAATAAAATCAAATCAAAAATCAAATTTTATAATTCTCGAATTAAAAGTATTAAAAATGATTTTGAACAAAATTCTAAGCTTAAAAGCACTAACACAATTTGTTTTTAAAGGGCTTTCATTTCATCAAACTTTTAATTTTGGTCCCCTTATTTTTTATTTTTCTCAAACAATAAAATTAAAGTTTTTTTTTTCTTTTTTGCAAAATTAAGAACCATTATCCAAATATTTTTAAGATTATGATAACTAGGAAAAAAATATGAACTAAATCATGAAGCTGAATCACAGATCATATGAATATGGAGGGAAAAAGTTCAATGGTCAAACTAAAAAAAAAAGAAACTAAGAACCAAAAAATAAAAACATCATCCCTTTAAAAAAAAAAAGTTACCACTTCACCTAACTTTTAATTTTTGTCCCATTAATTATAACTCATTGCAAATAATCAAATCAATTCTTTGTAAAATCAATAATCTATTTAATACTAAGATAATTTTTTAAATCATCAAAATATAAAAAAATAACACAAAATAAATAATAAATCTCAATTTTAAATTAATAAAACATGCAAGGATTAAACTAAAACAAATAACAAAAAAAATTGAAGAAAAAAATTAAAATAACTATGCGAATCCAAAGTGGTCAACAATGTTTTACTAATCCCCTTTCAAGTTTTTTTTTTGTATATTATACAAAAGAATCATTGATCTTCGAACCATTTAAGTTGAATATTTGTATTTTTAATTTATATATTTATTATATCCAAAGATGTTATTTATCATCAAGAAAATCATAAAACGTTGTATAGAATAACCAATTTAACCACCAAAAAAAAAAAAAACCTTGCTGCAGCCTCTTGAACCGACAGATCACATGCATGTTGGGATTGAGCTCTTTCGACTTCTCTTTTCTTGCCCTTTCCTTTTCTTGTTTTAAATGGTTACAGCCTACAACGTGAAAATTGTATCCTTTAAGAGAGGAAGGTGCTGCTACTTGTTACAGGCGTGCAGAAATCTTTAAGAAATTGCTTCAAACTTGTTTGAATCGAATTTTATAAGATCACTGGTAATCATTGGTAAATTGCATAATCTTCGGACTGCACACACTGATCTGAATTTAGTCATGCCTTCAATTTTACTAGGACTCTTCGTTCCTGATTCTAGGACAGGAGAAGAGCTAAGAATTCCACCACAGGATCAACAAACAAAACTCAGAATTGGGAATGATAGGTAGGTCATAGCACACAAGGGAACGAAAGAAGACACTGGTACACAGACAATGCTGATCATGCATGTTAAAACACTCCTTTATTCTAATCCTCTAACTAACCACAACGTAGATCGGCGAAAAGATGACTTCGGCCAAATTCTATCTTCAAAAAACAACTCGTCAGCATCAGAAACACAGCAAACATCAATTCATGTTTTTAAATTATTATGAAACTGTAAGCAGATTTTTCATTCATATGGATGGGGAAAAAAAAATTAAGAACGGGCTTTTGGAAGAGAATGTACTTTGTAACAATTGTCATGTAGACCAATCGTTCATTTACAATATAGACAGCAAACACTTGCGGTATTCACAAAGAACTCTATACAGTCTTCTTTTACCCTCTTCTCTGCTGTAGCTTGTTTCATCCACGAGACTAACCTTTGAAGCAAGATCAAGTCGTTTCATCGAATAACATCACCTAGAGGATCAAACCAAAAGACTTGGTTAAGTCAACATATAAAAGATTCAGGAAAAACATGATATCAAACTTCATTCTACTATTTTCATGTTAATAACAGCAGAAAACAATGATTTTCATATTTGAATGTTGAAGTAGCAAGCAAGTAGTTATGGTGAAAGTGTCAGAAGAATGCTTTCAAAATGGAACATACAAGAGCGCAAATTATATTGCTGTTTCCGACTAATCTTGAGATAAAATCAACGTAAACCAGCTTTTACCATCCAGAAACCTGTGGATTCCAAGTATGAAAAATACAAGAAGCAACCAAGATGGACATTTCATCCAAACTATCAAGACTTGCATGGCATCAGCAGATTTGATATGGGATCACTAAAAGTAAAATCAGGTGAGAAATGAATTTTCTGCAAATTGTGGTTTCTCAATGCCCCGTAGCTGGCAAACTAACTTGAGGCACAGCTACATTTCATATGCACCAGGTAAGCAATTTGTAAGCCTCTTCAGTTTACTAAGGTGTGCGTTAGAATACATCACATCCTAAATATCACTTTTATTAATTACTTTTTTGGCTGTTAAGCAACAAAATGCTGGCTAACCCGTCACCTCACAATTTCTTCCCACATGTTGCTGCCTATGACACTAGAGCAAAAGGCCAGAATAGCCGAAGTCTTTTTCAATACTTCATGAGCCAACAGGAGACAGAAAAGTAGGTTTTCAGTAAACCTCTTAAATCTCAACTACATAAAAATGTTTTTTAACACCCAGAAGGCAAGATGGTAAGGCAATATCTGCCCCTTTAAATTAAGTGCAAAATGGAGTGCAATTAAGGCCTCGTTTGTTTGGTGGAAAGTGGTTTCCTTGAAACCACTTTCCAAACTTTCTTGTATTTGCTTGTCATTAAAAAAGTTGGTAAATAAAAAACATTTTCCGGTCAAAGAAAAATTTAACTTGGTTTCCAAGAAAGTGTTTTCCTTTTATTTTGGGCAAAAAACACTTTTCAAAAATTATAAAAAATTTAAAAATATCATATTATTTGCTGATTATATTAAATTTGGCCTTCAAACTTTTGATTGATATATATATTTTGTTTTGAAATTTTTTTTTTCAATTTCATCCCTTAGAATTTGATTTTTAAATTAACTTTAGTTCTCATTTTTATGATTGTTATTTGTTTTTCTCTATTTTTTAATTGAAATTTTTTATCTATCAAATTTGGTCCTCATTATTTTGATTGTTACTTATCTTATTTGAAATAATTTATGAAATGATAATTATTATTATTTTAATTTCTTCATCTTTTAATTTTTTTAATTTGTTAGATTTGATCTCTATTATTTTGATTATTATTTATTTTATTTGAAATAATTTATGAAATTATATTTCTTTTCAGTCTCATTCTCATTCAAATTTTTAATTTGTAAGATTTGTTCCTCACTATTTTAATAAATTTAAAAAAAATAAAATATTAATAAGTTATTTTCCACCTCATTTTTCATGACATAATCAATCATTTTTCATGACATAATCAAAGACTGGAAAGTGTTTTCCAACTTAGTTTCCATTACACTACCATATATCGGAAAATAATTCAATTTCCCAGAATTCACTTTCCAAAAGAAAACTACTTTCTAGCAAACAAATGGAGCCTAAGTAATATAAAATTGGAGTCATCACAGACAAAGGAAAATCATGCAATAGAGCCAGATCCTACAGCATTTAAAAGCACCCAATTCATCATTTAATATATCTAACAAGACATGTCATTGCTATCCACAACAACAAAAGAAACTAGATTTACTCATGCAAGAAATGAGCATCCCTACGTTAAACCAAAAGAAGAATTTAATCAAATGCACAGGAGCAGGAAAAGTCTTGAAAAGAATTAAGCTTTTGGCAGCACAGAAAAGAAAAATAAAAATCTGTTGAGCATTAAACTCATTGTGCTCCTCAGGTAGCAGAGGTACTGATTAATATAATTCCAGAATGAAAATTGAAAATTGAAAATTGAATGAGCAAGTTTAAACAAAATAAAGCCAAACAAGTTACCTTGCCACAGACTGGGCAGCTATCACTTCTTTCCATCCACTCATAAATGCAACCAAGGTGGAAATGGTGAGAGCATTTTGTCATTATCTTTGGGTTCTCTTGAGTATATTCTGCATAGGTAAGAGGGTAAAAAAATGACAACTTAATTGTCAACACACCAAGTCCATAAGAGCAAATTTTAAGCATCTTTAAGACATTGACAACAAGGAGGGTCACTCCCCATCAGAAAACTGGTTTAGACTACAAGATTTCACTTTTTTGCCATTGTGATGGCTATGGATGCACTCTTCATAGAAACTGCTTCTTAATTACTGGAATTGGGCTTCTAAGGTTGGATCCAATTATTTGAGAGGGTAGGATTAGAAGGAAGTCCATGGCCTGTTGAAAAATAATCATGACATGCTCATAGCTTCCGCTTTTTTCAAGTTCATAATGTCTTCCAATATAGTTTTAACAAATTCCCAACTTCAAATTATCAGACTTTTGTTTCTAAGGTTGGAACCAATGAACATGGAAGGAAAACATGGAGTGGAAGAACAACTGCAATATGGTGAAACAAATCTGACAAACTCATAGCTTCCATCCTCTTCTGTTCATATTCATACCATCTCCCAATATAGTTTTGATAAAATCAACTGATTGTGGCAGTAGCTAGCTTAGCATTTCAACCAGAAAGACTAGATCAATGTCTTTTATAACTAAAAGTAGAAAAATCTTTCTTATTTTTTTTTTACATAAGTGTTGGGGCTTCTCAATATGTCTATAAAGTGAAAGTTTATTGAAATATCACTATTTGAATGATGGGTGCTGTTCCCACCTTACACAGAGATATCAAAAGACAAACAAGTAAAAGAGTCAAAGGTGGCTTAGCTCATGCCAGGAGATGTAAGAGATTATTAAACAACATGCTAGCAAGGAAAGTGAAAAATAAAATTGTGTAAGACATGTTGGACTAACAATATCAGCAGAAACACAGTTACTATAGAATATCTTAATGGACACAACACCTACTAAAGCTAAATCAAGAATTTTACCATCAAGACATGTTGGACAGACATCCTCTTCTTCTGAGGATGAATAAACATATCCATTTCCAACTGTTGCTTTTGCAGATGAGAGCTTTTGTGAGGATCTAGAACGCTGTTCCTTGCCTCCATCTTCACAAGCAGACACATTCCATTTGTCTCCTGTGCTGAAGGATTCAGAATCAACATCACTATCACTTCTCAAGGGTTCTGATTCCTCGTGTGAATGACTTGAACCCTTATCACGTCTTGAAACCAGACCATCACGCTGCAAGCGAATGCATCTGGGGTCAGCATCATAGGGCAAAGGCCGTGGAGGAGATCGGTACATGTCAGCAAGAGAGTTGTCAAGAGATGAAGAAGAAGTCAGAGATGCTGCCCCTTGAATGGATGAAGGGACAGAATGCAGTTGCCCTCTTTGAAATATTGAGGTGTACTACAAATATTGGAGGGCAAGAAAGAAAGAATTAAATAGTTAGAACTCCATCAGAAGGAATATGAACTAATATTGAATGACAATTCTAATTCTATTCAAATCAACTTGGAAATTCTGAACCAGTGCTTTTTCCATACAAATGAGCTGCTCATTCAAATAAAATCAAATAAATGCAATGCACTCAAAAATACACTTTAGCTAAAACTAAGAATCTGGATGATTATACACATTAAGCAGCACACCAACTAATATGCTTTAATTTTTCCCAACTTTTACCACCTGTTTGATTACCTTGGTGGAAGACACCGATAGAAATATAGAATCGTCAGCTTAAAAGTGGTAGCAACAATGTTACATATAAAAACAAACATTGGTAACTTGTTGGGTGTATTTAGCTCATCCTTTAGAGCTCTAATATATTTCCTCCTTTTAACAATCAATAAATTGTCCACTTGTAAGAACCAACATCCAAGAGTAAAACAACGCAGATGCCTTTCATCTTTAGGCATCAATCTTTCCCTGATACTTTTTCTTATTCCTGATCTTCATGAGGCAAGGAAGAAATGGAAATAATGACAATGTCTTATGTAGCATTAGCAGCAAATATTCCTGACAGGTTATAACTCACAGGTTAAATAACAAACCTAATAATATATTAGATGCCATGAAAAAATAGTAATATATTAGAAGCTGCATATAACTTCTAGTCCTATTGCTATGACAGTGAAAGACAAACTTAAATTTCAAGAGTAACAGAAAAAGGAGGTAAGGCAAGGGGGGAAGCATACCACATGAAAGAAATTCTGAACAAAGCAACCCAGGCACATGCAGTTTCTATATACAGAATCCTCAGGATTCCTATAATCCTGAAAATCATCAGCATGCAAACAGCAACAAACAGAACCCATGGTGTTACTTATCTCACTCTCTAGCAAATCTCATAAGCATCAAGAAGTATTCTCGTGCACAATAAATAGAGAATGAGAGAGGACTCTAAGCTCGCAGAAGTTAAATTGCCTCCACGAACCAGTATCCTCCCTCTCTTAGTCACCAAATGCCAAATTGCCTTTTTTTTCTTTGTTTGTTTCTTTTTTTTTTCTTGTTAAACACTTGGTGGGCCTAAATACTTCTTGACCTGTAAATCAGGAGAATCATGTTAAAAAAATCATGTCACTAATAAAGATAAAATCAGAAAGATTCGCTAAAATGATATCACTAGAGCTAAATAAGCAAGTAAATTTCTTCAAAATTTTCAGCATTCACAAGCACATAGCCCATAGACATTTAAAAAAAAAAAAGGACTTCATTTGATTGATCAATACAAGTTGTGACAGCATGATCAGTACAGAGAATCTTCAATTAACTACTAAACTAACTAAAATCGGTAACTTTCAGAAGAAAAAAACTGAGGATCGTCTTTAAAAAAATCTTTCTTTTTTTCTATGAAAATAACAATCCTTGCTTGCTCTTTATGGGATCCTATCAAAATCAGAGAAAGGGTTCTTTCTTTTAACACAAAGAAACATTTTTTAACAATCAAAAACTGAAATTGAGAAAAAGAGGGAGATTTCCACAATCATCCCATAAGCAAAAAAAAAAAAATCCTTTATGAACCCCCCCCCAAAAAAAAAAAAAAAAAAAAAAAAAAAGCAAACTTTATCAAGCATGTCCAAAACCCATCAAAAAACTCAGTGAAAACAAAAGGATCAACACAAAAACATACATGGATCATTAAAATGAAAGATACACAGTTGAGATTTTCACGTGTTCATGCCAAATTTGAGATTTTGAAGAAAAAGAATATGAGAGAGATTAAAAAAAGAAAGTACCTTGTAAGAGCTGAGACAAGTCGAGGAGAAGAAACAAGAGAGGATTTTTGGATTATCTGTTTTAGTTAATGCTTCGGCGAGAAAAGCTACGAAAGCGCGGAATTAAAGCAGTGTCTGAAGATGTTTGTGATTGATTTTCAACTTGTTAAAAAAAAGAGGCTTGTTTTAAATTAAATTGTTTTATAATTTTTAAATTGTTTTGGTAGGATAATATTAAAATTAAATTTTTTAAAAAAATAATTTTAATATATTTTGAAATAAAAGATAAACATTATTATAATTGCAAATACTTGTACTTTCTTTGATTGAAGATGGTAGAATAAATCCACTCCAAAAAAAATTAAAAATATAATATATGATTCTTATAATATATTAATTGATTATTAACATATGAAAGGCCTCGGCAAATTTCATTATAGCAATAAATTATAAAATACAGAGGTTTTTTTAATTTTTATTCTCAAAATTTTTGAGGTTTTTTTGCAATTTAAATTTTTTTAATTTTATTTTTTAATATTTAATTTAATACATATTAGACTTCATGATTTATTTTATATAATATTATTACGGTTTTATGATTCGGATTAAGGATTAAGCCAATTAATTTAGGTGTTTTTGTTCTTTTTATAATTGAATTTTTATTTTTAATTTTAATTTTATAATTTTAATATTGAATTAGTTGAAAATTAGGTTTCATGACTTGTTTTGGTTTATACTCTATAAGATTATCTCAATTTTATAATTTAGGTCACAGGTTTGGTCAGTTAACTCATATAGTTTTTTGTGTCTTATTTTAATTAATTTTTTTATTTTCTCCTTTAATATTCAATTGATTGGGAATTGAGCCTCATGATTTGTTTTTATTTGCCTTTTACAAGGTTATTTTTGTTTTATAATCAAATTTTGGTAGGTTAATTCGAGTTGATTTAACTTATTTTTTAGTTAAATTTTATCATTCAACATTAGATTGATTGAAAATTGAGTTTAATATTTTTTTTATTTTTTATAGTATTATCATGATCTTATGATTTAAATAGCGAACTTGATGAAATAACCTAAGTTGATCTTAGTTCATTTAATATATTATCATTTCAATTTTTTTTAATATCATTTTATTTTTTTAATCAAACTATATTTTTATATATTGTACATGTTATTTTTGAACATGACAAATCGACCAATTCACATCATATCAATCATCATATAATTAAATCAATGTATTGGTCTCCACTCTGTAATGGATTAATAACAATTTTTTTAAAAAATACTTTACATTTTAAAAAATATTTTTAAAAAGTTTTAGGTCTGGTGGTCAGCCGAAACCCAAAAACTTTAGGTTTGGCACTTCAAGCACACTCAAGTCTCTTTGATTTGACAACCTAACCATATTCATGAGACATGAGTCTAGCAACAATGACAAACTCAAATTTTTATTAATAATAGATTTATAAGAAAAACATGACTACTATATCATGTTTGTTATTGAATTTTAAAAATAATTTTTTTAAAAATAATTTTTTATTTTGATATGTTTGCTTTAAATTATTTTTTTATTTTTTAAAATTATTTTAATATATTTTTTAAAAAATACTTTTGAACAAAAATATATTGGTAACAACTATAAAATCAAATTTCTATCAATGGAATAACAAATTCATAAATATAAAAAATAAAATATTTTAACAGAAAAATATGATTTGAATTTTTAAATATAAAATGTTAAATTAAATTATTGTAATGGTTTGTTGTTTATAAATTATATATACTTTATTTATAAATAATTTTTTGATCTATGTTACTTGGTTCGACGAACATATCTGACTCAAGTTTATTTAAATAATAATAATTATATTAATAATACTAATAATAATCATGTTAATAATAGAATTTTTATTAAATGAATAACAAATTTACAAATATAAAATACAAACTATTTTTATTGAAAAATATGATTTTAATTTTTAGATTTAAAATATAAATAAGATTTCTATGATGATTTGATTACATAATGAAGATATATTTGCTTTGGTCTGGCAACCATGTGTGATGCCAAATCCAAGCATAAGTTTGGCAGACCAAGGCGAGTGGGTCTGTTGAGCGCTCCAGCTAGATTCATGTTATTTTTATTTGGTTAAAATAAATAAATAAATAAAGGCATGATTGTTCCGATCAATTTCAAATACAAAATTCATCCTTCCGTAGTCCTTTAAATCCAACAAAACCCAAAAGAAATAACTAGAATAAACAACCCAACACAATCACAGATTATTTGTACCAACTCAACGCCATGATAAAACACTTATATCTATCAAAAACAAAAGGAAATAGCAAAAAAATAACTATCATCCCATATAAAATCAACCAAAATCTTATTCAACATACCAGACCAGCACTCTTTCGAGAACTATCATGCAACCAGGTATATTGCAGATAAAGTCTATATCTAATCATTAGCTCCTTCATGCTAAACAAATTAGGAGAATGACACAGATTATCAAATACTCACCGATAAGAAATAACTAGGCAAATCATAGCACACTATGCACATCATGAAAAATAACAAAAAGTAAACTGTTCACAACTTATAATGAGAACTAACCAACTCTTCCCCCTATTTTAATTTACAGTGAAAATACTTAAAGTCCATAATTAAAAATTAAGCTTTTTTAACTTTTATTATAATGTTTTTATGCTAAAATACATATTAATAATATCTAAATATTTTTTTATGTTAAAAAAAAAATATTCTCACCTGTAGAACAACCAATCATCTAGTTACTTGACTATACAATTTTGTGTCATTGATTGTTATATTTTATCATTTATATTTCTATGAGTTGTTTATCATAAACTAATTTAAGGATTTCTTTCAAAGTTGAATAAAAAAATAAAAATTTAATGCTATCCAAAATTCAAAATAGAAGGAGTTTCTCCAATCTAATATAAAAATATATTTAAGAAATGCCAAGTAAATAATTAAAATTATTAAATATCAAATCTCTTTTATCTTTTAGTTTTTCATTTTTCATTATAAAGTTTCCATTATTAAATTTTTAATTCCATCTATAGATGGCAGTGTTGTTCCTTGCCGGATGTTGGGTTAGAACTCATGCTATCTTGGGCAGCAATTTTTTTTTTCCCCGGATAAATTATGATCTATTTTTTTTTCAAGTGTCAGCAGTTCTTTTTGGTTGCGTTCATTGGTCAATTGAAATTAAAATTCTATTTAAATTATCTAAAAGATATATCCTCACAAATATAGGTATTAATCCTAAAATTTGAATTCACGAGATTAAAGAAGGGAACGAGACCAATTCTAGTTTTATGTACAAAAAGTTAAGGACTGGATATTTTTCAATTTAATTTTAAATAAATCATTCACCCATTAATTAGAAAAAAATTATAGACAAACCTTAAAGCGCCATCCAACAATGTCCAACTGTTAATATACTCTCAATGTTACCATCAGATAATTATTTTATATTAGTTTTATCTTCAAATTTTAAAAATCATCAATTAAGGATTTACATTCATTTTTAAATTTTCATATTCATAATTTTATTTAAATTGTGTGTGTATGTGGTAATTCTAACAAATATTCTTATTTGACAAATGAAAATATTCTAATAATAAAATTGATATAAAAATAATATTTTAGTGATATATTTAATCTTTATTTAAAACTTGTTTTTTTTATCCCCTTCTATTTCAAATCCTCGACAATAATTTAATAGTTTCAGGAAACTATATATTGATGAATTTAGAAGGTGTTTGATATTGTTTTTGTTTATGTTTATAGATGATATTTTTTAAAAAATTGTTTTAAAAAATATTCAATTGATATTTTTTAATGATTTTTAATATGTTAATATTAGAAATAAAAAATATTTTCATTTATTTTAAAATAAAAAATATTTTTAAAAATACTCTTGCTTTCCATAATGACTGTTTGATTATGTTTTTTTTATAGGATTGCACCTTGTGGGAGACATGTCCATGCTAAGCATAGACTGTCATATATAAGACATGTACAAGAATCTAAGATTCCATGTATATCTTAACTATTATTTTGAGATTCTGAAATTAATAATCAAATAAATCTTCAATGACCTTAAAATTTATAATACTCAAATTAATAATTTTTGTAAAATAAATTTAGAATCTGATCAATTAAACTACACTCTTAGCTGAGTTACAACTAAGAGCCTATCTTTAAAAATGTTACAGGAGTGTTCATATGAGAGCATCTACACCTTGAATGAAATGTATTTATTTTGTATTAAAAATCTATTTATTTTTATATTTCAAAAATGTTTTAAGAAAATTAAATTTTTTATTTTTTTACTTCAAATTAATTTTTTCTAGTGTTTTTAAATCGTTTTGATGTTATTGATATCAAAACTAAATTAAAAAAATATTATTTTAATATACTTTCAAGTAAAAATCACGTTGAAAAACAAACTCTATTACAATATCAAATGGGCTCTAAGTTACGGTATTAAAGGCTTATTTAAAAATGTATTAAAGATTATTTTTAAAAATATTTTTTTATTTAAAAATATATTAAAATAATATTTTTTAACATTATTAGTACATTAAAAAAAATTAAAAACACCTAAATAAATCTAATTTAAAGCTTTTTTTTTTTTTGAAAAAGTACAGTTACACCGCTAGGCCAAATAAAAAGGAAGTCGCATGTATTTTCTTTCAAGCAACTAGTTTGAACTTTTCCCGGGGATTTAAATTTCATATCGGGGGAGGGTGGACCAGAATTTTCAAATTCAAAATCCATAGAAGGGGTAAAGAGGGTTATTTTCCAGTGCAGTTTACGATGGCTTAAAGTGCTTGGTAGACATGGTTATGGTCGGTGGTCTATCAAACTCTTTTGGTTGAATGGATCGCTTCAAACTTTCCTCTCGCTGGCCACGAGCCATGTTAGTCCAAGTGGCGACTTCCCTTTAGAGGCTGTGGATTAATCTACAGAAGAAAAAACTCGGAGATTTTTGGGGCTTGAATTCAAATCAAGAGAGATGGAGGTTCACATCCATGCTGATTTTTTTTTTTTTTAGTTTATAATCCTCGTGCTTGAACAGGGATCGCCCATTTCAATGTGAAAGCTCCCATGAACACAAAAATAATAATAATAAAAAAAAATTACCTGTTAGGTTATCATGAATTTGGACATTTTCTTTAATTTTATATGTGATTTTAAAAATATTTTTTTAATAATTATTTTTAAATGAAAAATATTATTATTATTATATTCTTAAATATCTTTTTAATAAGTTAATGGATGTAAATAAGAACATTGTGATACTAGATGGAAGACATGACACCTAATTTGATTTGATCATGACTAATGAATCAATCAGATTAAGATTAATTTTGAGTGTTGAGAACAGATTCCAAATTCGAACTTATTTATTAATTTCCAGTTGCTTGAGCTAGGATGTTCATGATATTACGAGTATAGTTTCTTTTTTATTTTATTTTGTTAAAACTCCATCAAGATGGAATTACAGATGCCCAAGGAATGATTTGACGCTGCACTGATGATGTTTTTGGTCAAATCATGGAACAGTATGTCTTTGTCCTTGTCTTGTGCATACATGTACTCGCACCTTTCTTCCCTCTAGTGGTCGCGCCACTAGGTTCTCACCAACTCTTATCTATATTCTTTATATGTATAATCTATATCTATATTTTATATTTATTATTTTAATTGTTATTTTTTTTATCTTTTTACAATTTCATTTTTTATTATTTTATTTCTTTTAATTTTTGAACCAGATTTATTAAAGTTTATTTTATTTTTTAATTTTAAATGTTTAATAAATTTACTTTTTAATTTTTTTCAAGTTTATCTTTTACAAGTAATATAATGTTATGACTGAGTTTTAAAAATTAATTTAGATTACTTTAGATTATTTATTTAAATTAATTAATTAATTATTTATATTTTATTTTTAATATTAAATTATCACGCTATAATTTTATTATTTTTGTTATTTTTTTATATAAAATTATTTTAATTTATATCTTTTATCATAGTTTAATTGAGTTAACATGAATTATATATTTAGAAAATTTTTATAATTAATTAAAATTAAATAAAAATACTATTTTTATGACCTTATAATTTATCAATTAAATTCTAATAAAAATAGTTTATTGCAACGAACGGCATATTATTTATTGAAAAAAAAAAGGAATGTAGCAAAACTCTTTGAAAAAAAGGACACACGACCTCGCATGAGTTTTTTTTATTTTTAACCAAGTTCGCAAGCTAGACCTCTCTTTCGTTTTACTTTTCATTATTATTTTTTTTTAAATTTTTTAATCAATACTCTCTCTTATTTTCAAAATTCTTAGTTTATTTTTTTAAAATATTAATTAATATTTTAATTATTTGTTTTAATTTCATAACACTTTTCTCTTATATTTCATATGCTTATAAAATATTAAGCTATAAGATAAAATAAATAAAAATAAATAAAATAAAAAGGATAGCTGAAATAAAATATGTATATGCATGTATACTTTTTTATAGGAAAAATTAGATTCTCTTTAATATTTTGTTAGCATTGATAAGTCTTGTTTAATTTATCAACTAATATATTTTTTCTATTTATTTTAATAAATATAAACATCATTTTTCTATTAATTAATTAAAATAGTATTATATTCAAATATTTTTTTTTATTATGTTAAAAATTAATATAAAATTATAAGCATGATGTGACTAGTCAATTAAGTGACCCCCAGAGCACTCGTAAAACCAAAAGGATTAAAGTAGAGTGCATATTTTATTTGAGGGAAGACTGGAAGGAAAGAAAAATGATAATTTAATTACATCAATAATACAATTAACTCCAAACAGTTACTTCCTTAGAACAAAACAAATCTCCCTGTCCGAATCTCTGCGTTTTTTCCCTGTGTTTAGAAATGTGATAAAAATTATTATTATTTTTTTTAAATATATTCAAATAATTTTTTATTTTTATTATTATTATATCAAAATACTAAAATTAATTGTTTTTTGAAAAAAAATCAAATTTGAATGAAAAACAGTTTAACTGTGCCAAACGGGCACTTGCCGGCTGAAGACAACCGGCGTTTTGTCTGATCTACTTGTCTTTCTCTGCAAATCTAGCGTTTCTTTAGAGAACCCATTTATTCGAAGAATTTAGGGTTTTGTAGACTTTTAGATTAAGAATGCTGCAATCTTATTAGTGTTTCAAAAAATTCGTTGTTGAAGAAGCAATCGAAATCTAGTGTTCAATGCACGGGTCATCGAGTGCAGTGGCGCAACCAGAGGCCATACTAGAATGGTTGCAAAAGGAGATGGGGTATAGGCCATTAGGACCGTACAGTGCCACCACAAGCAAATCTCCATTGCCTTCAATTGATGCGATGAGGAAAATTTGTCGTGGAAATATGATACCCATTTGGGGATTTTTGGTAAAGAGAGTGAAATCGGAGAAAACGGTGGAGAATATAAGGAAGAACATATTGGTACATGGTAGTGGTGGTGGTTTGGTAAATGCTGGGAAAGATGAGGGGAGAAGTAAAGGAGGGAGGAGGAAGGAGAAGGTGGGCGGGGAGAGTGGGGGTGGTTCGAGCATGCCGGAGAGTAGGGAGGTGGCATTGCAAGAAAGGGAAATGGCGGCGAAGGAGGTTGAGAGGTTGAGGAGTATTGTTAGAAGGCAGAGGAAGGATTTGAGGGCTAGAATGATTGAGGTTTCGAGGGAGGAGGCCGAAAGGAAGCGTATGCTTGATGAGCGTGCTAAGAATAGGTTCGCTTGTTTAACATGTTTCTGATGCATATGTCTTTTTTTTTTGTTTATTGATTAGTTAAAGTGATTCATGTTGTGCTTAATTGATAAGGAATCTGATCTTTGATTTGATGGTTTTTGATAAGAAAGGACAATTAGTTTCTCTCAGGATATTTGTTCGTGCATGCTGGGATAGATCTTAAATTGGTTCTCTAGGTTTATTGATTAATTTAAATTATTAATGTATGCTTTATTGTTAAAAACCAAGGAAATTAGAGGAATGTGGGGTTTGGCCGGGATGGGTTTTTTTCTTGGTTTGGAAAGGAACGCAAGAATTTTGTTCGTTAATATTGGTGGGAATTAAGTTCAAAATTCACATTTCTGGATGCATAGGAAATGTAAAATTTGTTTTGCAAAAATCTATGTTCAGTTCTAGAAGTAAAAAATTCACGAGGGCATGTTCAAGAATAGATGGAGTGACAATATCAACTAGGATTAGTTGGATTCTGTTGCTATAGATCATTCCTAAACTTGTGTGCCTGGATTGCTGGTTGGCATCCACTCATTGTTGTTCCTATTGTTCTTTACACATATTTCATTGAAGTTTCGTGTCGCACTGCATTGGACCATGTTGTTCCTTTGAAAGTAAAATATTTCTATCACTTAATTCTATAAATTCTTATGGACAAATTTGCTTTGCTTGGATACATATTACATGGCCATATGAATTATATAGCAGTTCTTGGTAGAAAGTACAAGTCAACATTGTCGCTTTGCATAAAGGCCTTTCCTTTCTGATTATAATAGTCTCATGTGCATTTGTGAAACTTGATATTGAACTTCAATTATCTGGGAAGCTATTGAGAGATGCAGACTCTGACATGATTATATACATTGGAAATCCATTGGTGTCTGAATCGTAAACCCCCGATCCTCTTAGCAGGCACTTTATTTTGTTTTGTTGAGTAACAATTTTAAAGAGGAATCCTTTTGATGAGGATTTAATCCATCCCAACCCTTGTGATGTGTCCTATGGGCTGCAGGCACAAACAGGTCATGCTGGAGGCTTACGACCAGCAATGTGACGAGGCAGCAAAAATATTTGTGGAGTATCATAAACGTCTTCAACAACATGTTGATCAAGCGAGGGATGCTCAAAGGTCAAGCATTGACAGTTCTATTGAAGAAGTTAGCAGTTTCAGTGCAAACAGTGAGAAGGAAGCTGTTTATTCAACCGTTAAGGGCACTAAATCTGCTGATGATGTCATTCTAATTGAAACAACTTGTGAAAGAAATATCCAGAAGGCATGTGAATCTCTTGCAGTTTATATGGTCGAGAGAATACGCAACTCTTTCCCTGCTTATGAAGGAAGTGGCATTCATTTGAATCCTCAATCAGAAGCAGCCAAGTTGGCCATTAATTTTGATGGGGAAATACCTGATGATGTTAGAACTGTTATTGTGAATTGCCTGAAGAATCCTCCTCTCTTACTCCGGGCAATTACTGCATACACTTCACGACTGAAAACTTTGGTTTCTAGAGAAATTGAAAAAACTGATGTTAGAGCTGATGCAGAACTCTTAAGGTACGTTCTTATTTTCATGCCATTTCATGTTGGCTCATGCAAGTAGAATTTTTGTCAGATTGTTGGAGTGGCCATTTACCCTGCTCACACCAAAATTTCTTGTTACTTGTAGAATGTAATAATTTCTTTGTTGCCTTAATTCATTTGATCATTCCTGTATTTGATAAATGTGGATAGCTGCATAATTTCTCATCAACTGAATTGGGGCTTGGGCTTCTAATGCATATGATGGAGACAAGTCACAATGAATTGCAAGATAAGTTTTTTGTTATGGCCATCACACTATGTGCAATAGTACCTAAAAGCAATTGTTTTGTTGTGATAAATCATGTGCTTGATCCGGTCCCCCATAACAAATTTCATACTTTCTTAGTCATGTAGGTATGTGTTACTCGTATATTGTGAATTGACTAAGGCAGTCATGTAAGTAGTCTGTTTAGAAGTTGTTCTGGCAAGGCATTGATGAAATGATATTCTTGTTATTTTCTTCATATTGACGAGGACCATCATGCATCATGCATTCATGTTGTATTTACATGCAAGAAGACTGTTAACTTTTGTTACACTTACTGTAACTGATATAGTCAATTTTTGTTATTGTTGCTTCCAAAGTACACGGTAAGTACATTAAAGAATATGCAAATTGTCTCGCGATTCTTCCACACTAACATGGATTCTGTTGTTGTTTATTACTGTACATGTCAATAACATAAATTTACAGTTGCTTTGTTGACTTGAATGTTCCTTTTACTTGATCAATAATTCTAAATCGCTTGATCAGATACAAATACGAGAACAACAGAGTAATGGATGTTTCTTCTACTGACACAAACTCATCATTACACCACCAGCTTTGTGGCTATGGGACGATTGCAACAGACATGACTTATAGAGGATCACAAAATCAGCTTCTTGAAAGACAGGTTTTCTTCTTTATAGATGGTAGCTTTTGTATTTGAAATTTACCTTTTAGTTTTCATATAAAGCAATACATATATAAATTCATTCTTTTAATTTAATGCCTCCTAATTCCTGTACTTTTAAGTTATTTTGCCAATGTGGTTAAGGGCTTTGGGTGCCAAACTGATACCCTCCTATTATGAAAGGATATATAGTGGGTGCTTTTGCATTTGATTTTGTTTTTGTTGTTTTATGCTATTGCTTTTTACATCTGCACTCTTGTGTCTGGAGCTGTTCATTTGACTTTGTTTTGCATGGCTGTTTTCAGAAAGCCCATGTTCAGCAATTTTTGGCCACTGAAGATGCACTCAATAAAGCTGCAGTAGCCAGGGACTTGTGTCAGAAGCTTTTAAAACGATTGCATGGAACTGGTGATGAAGTTTCTTCCAACTCAATTGTTAGTGGAGGCACAACACAGAACGTGAGCAGTCTGAGGCAATTCGAGGTAATTGCTCCCATTGATTTGTGGTTAATAGTTGTGAAGGTCTTGAACAATGCTACGATGAAATGGTGGCTATACCCCTTGCTTTTGATACTAGCCTGTTTTTCTGTGTTTGGTTATGGAAATTTGAGTATTTCATAGAAGTTCCTACTGATTGAGATTGTTAGATATACTTGGCATGCAAAAGTGTTGGTTTTCTGCTGTAACATATCTAGAACCATTTGTTCTTCTGTGCTCTGAAATTTTTCATGTCAACCATCTTGCTCCTAGCTAGTGATGATGTGTCATTCGTGCACATGAACTTATTTTCTTGAAGGGCGCAACATAATAATACTCATGCTCGACACAGATAATCTATACTGCGTGCACTTACTCAAGGCAGCATCACTTTGAAGTTCATTTATATAGTTCTTCAGCGTGATATCAAGGCACTGACCTCACAGAAGCTTCAAAAACAATGGTTAATGCTATTGTACCTTAAATTAAGTGTACAATAAATTTACATCCGAGACATCATAATGCAAGTATGCCATACATTTTAACTCATCTAATACTCATTTAATCCGTTCATTATGCTAAAGATACATTTTGAAATTCCTTTTTAACTAATGTCCAATATTTTCTGTGCAGTTGGAGGTTTGGGCCATGGAGAGGGAAGCTGCTGGACTGAGGACAAGCTTGAATACATTGATGTCTGAAACACAACGCTTAAATAAATTGTGTGCAGAGAGGAAAGAGGCTGAAGATTCTTTGAGAAAGAAGTGGAAGAAGATTGAAGAGTTTGATGCATGCAGATCTGAACTTGAAGCTATATATACCGCTCTACTGAAGTTTAACATGGAGGTATTTGATTTTGAAGATTTTTGAAGAACTCAAAACATTAGTTTATCTGACATTTAATTAATTTAATCATATGACTGGATATTGTTAATTCACGTGTTAGAATTAATTATGAAGACTTGAAGGTCAAATGTTTCCTGATGGAGATCACTACCTTGAGTTTTGTGTGCATTTGTCTGCATGCTTTTGTAGCATTGCTCAATTTGTCCTTTTCTATGCTATAATTCAACCTGGTGATTTTAATGTCCCAGGCAATAAGTTTTCTATATTTCACAAGAAATGGGTGTGTGCAATGGGGAAGTATCACATTTTGTTGAAATTTTTTGGTTCTGTTCAAATCAAGAGTAGCATAGCTTAACTTGTCTTTTGTATGCTAAAATTAAACTTTGCTGATGATTTAACTGTTTCAGCCTAAAGAAATAAATGACTCAAAAGAAACGGATGCGAGCAATGGGGATATATTACATTTTGTTGTTAATTTTTGGATTTCTTCCTTTCCATTTGTTTTAACCATTGCATTCGCAGCCTTGTTAAACTCTTAAGAAATATGTGTGAAATTATAACACTTGTAAAAATTTCATTTGCCTCCTAGGATGCGGCAGCATTCTGGAAACGACAACCATTGATTGCAAGGGAGCATGCATCAATTACTATCATCCCAGCATGTACAATTGTTGTGGACATTGCAAACAGTGCCAAAGATCTTATTGATAAAGAAGTTAATGCCTTCTCACGATGTCCTGATAATAGTCTTTACATGCTTCCTTCAACTTCACAGGTTTGTGAAATTGAAACAGCATGTTGGCTTTCTGGTATCAAATATTGCAGTATTTTTAGTTGTATATTCATTCTAAAAGAAATTTATTTTTTAATTAAATTCTATCAGGCACTGTTGGAGTCCATGGGTTCTAATGGATCTACGGGACCTGAAGTTGCTGCTGCTGCAGAGAAGAATGCTGCTTTATTGACAGCAAGAGCTGGCGCTAGGGATCCATCAGCAATTCCATCAATATGCCGTGTGTCTGCTGCCCTTCAGTATCCTGCTGGTAAGTTCTTACTTTTCTATAGAAGGTTAGAAGCTTGTCCTGGGCTATCTTTTTGGATTTTGGATAGCTGTTTGGGCTGGGCGTCACGTGTGGTATCTGAGGTTGGGACTTTGGCCATATTCATTTGTCAGGCTTCCACTTAAAGGATTCCTGTTGTGCAAAAGGTTTGTAGATCTAGTTGCATCTGGCAAGCTGGAAGATTTGCATAGGCTGATCTCTTACTGAAGTGGAAGACCAATAATCTCCAAGAAGCTTTGAAAAAAAAAAAAAAAAGAAGAACATTGGGGTTAAGAGCTGAACATGTTCATAAAATGATATAATTGTGCCTTTTCTTTTATAGCCTTATATCGATTTTCAAGGAAAAAAATAAAATAAAATTCAGAGTATATTTCTTGCTGAGGATTCATTATCTTCATCAAAGCTTGGTTGACTACATTCAAGTTAAGATTTTTGTCATACTAATGAAGCATGATAATTGTTGAAGGAAAAGATTAGTATTACCAGTTGGCATGCATAACAGTTAACTGCCGCCCAAGCATAAGCTGTTTAATTAAGAAGTATTGTTCCTTGATCACTGCTTAGTGATGAATTGAATGTTTATGGGATTCCTGATATTTAGTTTGAGCAGCAGCATTTTATTTAGTGGAATTGAATATTTGAGATGATGACTCCTTCCCATCGGTTGCAATGTGGTCTGTTCTATGTGCATTTCTGAATACTGAGCCTGCTAAAGGTTGCTTTACATGTTATTCTTATGCCTATAATTTTGTTGACTATAACACAGTTTTAACTATGTAAAATAGAAGTAAATTGGAAATGCATTCACTGACTTGACATCCAAAGTATGTGCTTCCTTTTATTTTCTTATGTTCTAAGTGAGTTGCAAATGACAAATAGGTTTGGAGGGTTCGGATGCTGGTTTAGCTTCAGTGTTAGAGTCCCTGGAGTTCTGTTTAAAACTTCGTGGTTCTGAGGCTAGTGTGTTGGAGGACTTGGCAAAGGCAATCAATCTGGTCCATATTCGGCATGATCTAGTTGAAAGTGGTCATGCATTGTTGAACCATGCATACCGTTCTCAACAAGAATATGAAAGGTACAACTGGACATGTGCATGCTTGTTTTACAGTGGTATTGTAATTATCCAAATGGTCTGCATTTTGAGTAAATATTTTTTATATCAATTCTGCCACTTTTCTTTTTTGACGACAAACATTTGTAAATTGTGCAGTTGTTGACATGGAACTCCTCTTTTAAACTTAGCCTTTAAAGACCTTTCCCTTAGTTTCTAGTTTCTAGTTTCTAGTTTCTACCATTTTGTCAGTGATTTGCTTGTCCTGACTTATGTCCTTCAATAGAATTACTTTCTGACATTGTTGTAAATGACCAGACTATTTGAGTCATGAATATGTTTTGTGTTTCATGTGATCTCTTTCTCTGACACACAAACATGCAAACAATCTCTTAGATCTCATGTGCATGGATTTGGTTTCTTTTTCAATTTCCTTGGGAAATCTAACAGGTGTCTTTAAGGCACTTCATAAGAGGTTAATTATGCTATTTAATGGTAAATGTTTTAACGATCAGACAATTTTAAATTTTGAGAATTTTATCTACTCACCATTACGCAGCCCATGAATTATCTGAAATAAGATCTCTTTTTTTGTATTAGTAATGTGACTGGATTGAAATATTCACAATTAAAAATTGTCTAATTATTATAATTAAATTACCAATAACTAATCTCTTAGAGTGCCTTAAGGACCTGACCCCATTTCTTTTCCTATCCTAACCTTTTCTTTGTGTGACACTGAGAAGCTTCACATTTGTTTTTATGTCATCCAGGACAACAAATTTTTGCTTGGACTTGGCCAATGAGCAAGAGAAAATTGTCGTAGAGAAATGGTTACCTGAGCTTAAGACTACAGCTTTGAATGCCCAAAAGTGCTTGGAAGATTGCAAGTACGTGAGAGGTTTGGTGAGTACATACTGTAACTGAAAATGTATTATTTTTTTGTTGCATTTCCTGCATGTTGTTTCATGAAGAGAGAGAAAGATCATTGAGATTTTGAGTTAGGTTGGAATGAAGATACTTATGTCTTGACTATCCATTTAATCTCTTGATTCTTGATTTTAAATTGGAGGGACATTGACTAGATTACTGATGTTGTTTAAGCAAAATTTGAAGATGTCTGCAAAAGCAGATTTGCTTTGTATTGTGTTGATGTCTGTTGCAGTAGCTGGTGAGGTTGCTAGGCTCTTTTATTTGGTAGTGGGTTAGTGGGACTTCTGGGTATTTAGTTAGAAAGATATATGATTCTCAAAACAAGGTCATTTCTGGAATTTGTAGATCAAACTTGACCATTGACCTTGTTGGGACCAGTTAGAAAACATGCTTAGATTGTCTTTTTGTAATAGGTTTGGGATGGGATGGAGCGTGGTTAATTCTTTGGATGATATCTCCTGTCTTTTTTTCATGGTTGTTCTATATCTAGCTATAAATCCTTGACATTGTTTCTGCAGCTTGATGATTGGTGGGAGCAACCAGCATCTACTGTTGTTGACTGGGTTACAGTTGATGGACAAAATGTTGCTGCTTGGCATAATCACGTCAAGCAACTTCTTGCATTTTATGATAAAGAGCTCATGTGAACAAGATCTTTGTGCACTTTTCCTTGTTTGACTGATTTTTTTTACCACTTCATGTCAATACGGAAAATTACATTTGGGTCGCATGGGATACACTTGAGAATGTGATGAAGAGATCTTCGATGATATCTTTCTATTTAGTTTGCAGGATGAGGGAGGAGGCGGTTGGATGGATTTGGTATGTGTACATGAGGGTAGACAGAGGCAATCAAGCACCATCGATTGGAATACTAGTCAAAGCATCCTCCATTGGCTTAGAACGTGAAAGGGAGGTGGTGGTGGATTTCTGTACTCTGCTTTTTGGTTGAGGTATCTTGGCCTATTGTCTCCCTTTCCCACTAATTTTGTACAGACTGGTTGGTTAGTGTACTATAGGTCATCTGTTATCATTAAAAGTTATGAGGCGGTTCATGATTTGCTTGTTGTTTATTCAGTCTATATATGGCTTATAAAAAAGTCATTTCTCCTGTATTGATGAGTGGAGCTGTGCCTAATCTCTTTTATAATGGAAGTTAGGAGGAAGTGTGTTCCATGGCGTGGAAGAACAATCAAAATATTACTGACTGAAGGCTCAGAGCCAGAAGGGATGGCTCACCTGCTGTCCTAAATTTGTAAGGCTTTCTTTTTTTTATTTATCGTAGTTGTCAGAATGGATTTTAACATATCCTCATCTTTTTATGAAGCGTTTTACAGCGGTCATTGGGATTAAGAAACCGTAAAAGATAATACTAGAGATACTTAACTTTTATACTAAATGAAGAGAAATTTTATATTGCTTAAACTCTAACTAGTGACATTTTATAGCAACCTGATAAATAAGAAAAAAAAAAAATCCCCCCCTCATCATACCTGCAACTAGAATTACAGCCGACCACACTGCCTACAAAATAACAGCACCACCCTCCTCTCGTCTCTCTGCCGGCCAAAAAAATTACAAAGTGGTCCTGTTCGTTGTTTTTGTTTTCGTTGCAATTGCTAGCCTCCATCCCTACCTCCCCCTTCTTTCTGTCGATCAAAAAAATTAAGTAATCATGTTCCTTGTTCTCGTTGCGAAGGCTGCATAAATCCTTTTATGAAATTCATTGTCCAGGGGAGGTGATTCATCTGTAATTTGTGGTCAGTTTATATGCAATTTTTTTTTTTGGAATTCTCTTGGCTGTTTTCATTGTTAGGCTGTCTAAATGCTGTAAACTATTTGATTTGTTACTGATAATGGATTTGAAACAGTATCAACTGGTTATCTAAGAGGAGAAAAAGGCATGTATAATAAGCGTCATACTTGGTCTTATCACTGTAAGAAGTTCCCGGGCAGTGTTGGATGCTTCCATTCAGTATCTTATATACTTCATTCAAGATTATATATTGCTTATTATTTATGTTCAAACATTTCATAGACTTGGCCTACTAATCCCTTTGTATTAGTGTGCATAGAGTATATTTTTAGAGTTATTCTAAGATACCAGACCAAATTCACTTGGTCATAATTGGTAGTAACTGAACTTAGAGAGAGAGATTGAGTGATCAAAACTAGTAGTATTTTGATAATCCATGGAAGACCTTAATGCAGGAATACTGACAACTATTTCAAATTCATGGAAGTCAATTAAACCATAACCTGATATGTAAACTCCTAGATAAAATTCACAAAATTAATAATGGAGAATATTATGTTAAGTAAGTTAGTATTGGAATTAAAAGGGTGACTTTGGATTTTGGGAACTTGAAAGAAGATGTTCATGTGTTAACTTAAAAATAAAAGTATGAAAATGGTGGAAATTAACAATACAAATGAAAATAAAAAACAAAGAAATGCATATAAAAACCAAATGGAAGAGATAAAAAGAGAAAGCAATGTTCTGGAATATAATTTAATGAAATTCGATATAGTTTGTTTAAACTCAATATTAAAAATATATTTAAATCCGAAAAATATGATCCAGCAAACATAGATAGTACAATGTGGACTTGTGGCTCAAAAATTTATAAATTAGGGGTGAAAATATTTAGAAAATTATTTCAAAATTTTCAAATGAATTAATGTATGGTTCTACATGCGAATGAGTTTGATCTCAAGTGTAAGACTGTGTACAATTACATAGTTTTTAACCAGCACATGAACAAAATTTGAGGAAATTTTTTACTATAAATAGGGATGAAAGTTCCCAATGAATTAATGAAAAATATAAATGAATTAAGTACATAAAGTAGTATAAAAATTTAGATATTTAGCTTAAAATAACATGCCAACTAGTTTTACACTATAAACATAACTTTTAATTTGATCCTCGGATGAGATTGAAATTCTATGAGGAGTCTTATAACATATTTAGGCTGCATTTGGAAATGTGTTTTCATTTTTTTTGTAAAAAATTAATTTTTTTTGCAAAAAAATAATTTTTTTTGTATATTATGAATTGTTTTGATGCATTGATTTTAAAAATAATTTTTTTAAAAAATAATAAAAATAATTTTGATGTATTTCAATATAAAAAACACTTTGTAAAATAACTATAACCATAATCCCAAATATGTTTTTATTCAGGGTAGGGTAAAATCTCAGCATGATTGAAATTCAAGAATGCTGCATGAAAATATTGACAGCCAAACAAAATTTAAAAGGGTTCATGAAAGGTTCTTTAAGGGTAAAATGATCAATTGAACTTAAAAGCAGAAAAAATCATCCTCTCATTCTTCCTTAATTTGCCGGCTGAAATGGAAATAAAGAATAGAAAGAGAGAGAAGAACCGTGAAAGCTAAATATTAAAAATCATTGAGACAAAAGTAGACATTAGCTAAGATTTTTGAGTTAGGAAGTGTGAAACACCAACCAATCTATCAAGCAAAGATTTAAGAGGAAACTAACCGAGGGAGAGTAGAAAGTCATATATGTAACTTATGACAACGAGGAGAAAATTTAAAAGAGTAAAAATTTTGACCGGTTAGCTTTCAAAGTCTATCTAATTGCGAGGTAAGAAATTTTAAACTTGTTTAAATAATTTTAAATAAAAAGAAATGGATATAATGCATATTTCTTAGATCTTTTAATTAGGATTCTTAAAAAAAATTTAAAGAATTTAAGAAATTGTGTGGATATGATGTAATTAAGGTGTAGTAGAGTATCAATGACCTAGTTTTATGAATGTATAAAGAAGAAATTCCAGTGCTTGTACGTTTTAGCCAAGGGAAGGAAATAATGAGGAGAGGTATAAATATGTTAGATTATCGTTTATTTCTTGTAATTCAATAAAATATTTGAAGTAAATATTATGTCAAATGCATTAAATTGAATATTTGAATTAAAAAGATGAATTTGGATTTTGGGAAATTAAACTAAAATTTCCAAGTGTTAATTTTAAAAATGAAAATATGAAAAATGGTTAGAAAAAATATATTAAATAGAAGTGATGTAGGAGGAATCAAAGGTATTAGAATATAATTCAAAATAGTCCAACTTAAATTTGATATAAACAAGTGATGGAATCTGGAAATATTACTTAGCAAATATAAAAGGTAAAATGTAAATCCCTAGTTGGGAAATTGATAAACTAGCGCTAAATATATAGAATGTTTATACATTTAGGGTGAAAATAGTTAGAAAAATATTTAATAATTTTTAAATAAATTAATATATGGTTTTATATATAAATGACCTTAGCAGCTAGTATAAGCCATGTGTACAATCGTATAGTTTTTAACCTGGAAGAGGAGATAGTTGAGGAGAATTTGTAGTATAAAAGGGGATGAAAGTTTTTATGAATTATTTTGAAAATATTGATGATTTAATTAGATAAAACAGTACAAAAACTTGGATTTTTGGCGTAAAAATAACATACTGATCAATTTTACGATATCAAACATAATTCTCAATCTGACTGTTGAATTGAAAGGAAATATTATGTGGAGTATTTTGACACATAGTTCCACCTAAGGTTAAAATTTCAAGGAAATTGGAGGTTAGATAGGCCACACGAGAATAACAATAAATTAGACAAATTCATGAGCTCATTCAGGGCAAAATAGTCTTTTAGCCACAAAACCTAGCTCTCCTTTCCTTTAAGCTGATGAGAAGTTGCTGGGGAAAAAAATGAAGAAAGAAAGGAAGAGAGAAATGAAGAAAGAAAGGAAGAGAGAAAGACTTAGTGAACACCAAAATCGAAGGTGAGATTATAGAAATGGAGAGATTAAAGTAAGAGTAAGCAAATCCAATGAGAGGAGCATTATTTGAAAGGCTTGAAAGCATAATTTTAAAATCTAATCCGGTAGGTCAATCTAGAACCCGACTGATTCGAGGCTGGAATTGGGTCAGATTTATAAAAAAATAATGGAAGTCAAAAACTCGGTTGACTTGGTGACCATGTTGATCTGGTAAGACTTGATCGAAAACTCGGTTGTAACCCATTAACTATTTAATTTTTTTTTTAACTAAAACAACATTGTTTTAGTTAAAAAAAAAAAATTAGGGATAACCCGGATGACCCAATAACCTAGTCAAAACCCTTGACTTGGGTTAGGTTTAAAAACATTGCTTGAGAGAGGAAGACATGAGAAAGAAAGTGACGGCCAGAGAGAGAAAGAAGAGATTTGTGAAAAAAAAGAGAAGTGAAGCAAAGTTGACACGTTAATGTTTGAAGTCCATTTGATCATTTGGTAAGGGATTTCAAATCTATTTATAAAAGTTTCAATGAAAAGAAATAATGTTAATGCATGGTTTTTTGATTTTTAGTTCGGTTTAATAAAATTAAAATTTGAAAAAAATGAGATTTTATTGTTAATTGATGAAATTAGGATGCATTAGGTTACGAGTAATATATAATAATGGTTAAATTGGATCAATTATTGAAAGAATTGAAAAAGATTTAGAGTCATTACTTAGTATTTTGATCACTAAGAACTTTATTTGGTATTCATAATCTGGATAAGAGACTAGTTATGTATAGGGAGGACAATATCACTTATAATATACTCTATTTAAAGTAAACTATAATGTTTATTTATCTGATACTAAGGCAGTGTTATGTTTTTCAAACAAATGGTTTGTCATCCACACCAGTAGAGTTAATAATGATATTATGGGTCAAGTTTAACCTTTTTAAAATCTAAACATATTTTTGTATTTGTTTCTTTTAATACAAGAAATATGTTTTACGTGTAAGTTTATAATTCTTAGTATTAAAATAAAAATATTAATTTTTTTTGGTATTTTTGAAATATAGGTCAAATTATAATGGATTTAATAAACTTGTTATTAAATTTAAAAATAAATACAAAGATGAAAAAAAAGCTATTTTTCTTAAATTTTAATATTAAAAAATATACTAAATCATGCGGTGCTGTATTTTTTTATTTTATTTTTTAATCTAAGCAAAATTTGGGTTTAAGAAAAAAATCTCCCCCTTAAGAAGATCAAGACAGGTATTGCAAAAATAAAATAAAATCTAGAACTGTTCAAGTGTTTCAAAAATTGAAAACAACCTAGGGGCGTGTTTGTTTACAGGAAAGTGAATTCCTGGAATTCATTTTCTTTGTTTTCCCATGTTTAGTAGCAATATGGAAAAGTAGTCAAACGAAACTAAATTCCAGTCAAACTAAAAAAAGCAATGTTACCAAAGGAAAGTGTTTTCCTTCTGTAAAAAAAAGGAAAACACTTTTTTTTTTTTTTAGC